AGTCAAAATAACGGGTAACTGTGAGTACTAGAATAGACCAACAGCGCAGGAGGAGCGTTCGTCGATCAGGTCACGGGACATGCTCGTCTCGCTGCTTAGCGGATCATAATGTGGAGTACTCATAGGCGATCGAAATCGGCCAGTAATGATGCAGGAACGAAAATCGACAAAGGCGAGAAGGAACAGGATGGTCATTTCTGGCTCATTGGTCGTAGTCAGTTAACCATACTCAACCACACAATTGCTTGACCTGGAATCTGAACTCGGATTATTTGGTCGTTGAGGGCTGAGTCACGGGCACGCCCTCCTGTCGGTTATGATCGAGAATATTCAGTATCGTAGGCTGGGTGTTCACCAATCGGGTCACGTGATGTCCTCCGGCCGTTGCGTCTAGGAGCACAACGTAGGGCCTTCGTGGGCAATCGAAGGCGACTAGTAACGTTCAATAGCCAAAGAGCGTGGGTTATGATTCCAAGTTAAGCCAACCTGGGATCGGGTATAGCTGGCTGAAGACAACCAGTGAGCCGGAACTGGCCGTCCTGGTCTCGTCTGTTTTTGTTGGTTTTCTTTCCAGGTCAGCACCGTTAAACGTTTCTCGAGAACCACTTATGCACCAACAAATCTCGGTAGCGAGATCGCAGACCATCAGAAAGCGACTCCGCTGTTTCTGGGTATTACGTCAGACCTCATTGGTTTTGTGCCGAAAACGATTTTTGGTGCAGCTATAAAAAAAGTTTAAGAATCTGAAAATAGTATTCAGTGACCCACCAAACTCGATTGGACTGATGGCGTTACGGTTACTTTCATACGCTTATTTGTAGCTGCATTTGGTCAGATCAACACACTTTCCCCTTGGAACTATGTGCACACAAACGCTGGAACGGTCACTGCCTCCTCACAATAAAATCCAGCGATGACTCCGAGAGATGACCTCCGGTTGCAGACTGCCGGCCTTAAGTGGTCAAAATAAGTATATTTACCACGCGAATAATTTAAGGACGAAACTCGGCTTTTCTTCGGTATTTATGGGAGGCACTTTTCTGCAGCACGAAGCTCCCTTAAACAGGAGGTGAATCAATAATCATGAGTGAACACTTTCCTTTGGAGTGATAATGCAGACCGCCCGCTCTTCCGCCGTTAATACCGACACAACAGGCAGAAGGCCGGCAGAAAACCTAACGTTCCTGTTTCATAAAGTGCAAGGTAACTGGTCGTGCACGACATTTCAAAAAGTAGATGTTAAAACTTCTGCCTGTGGAAGAAGTCTTTGGAAGTCGTCGGAGGACTTTTGGTCGATGATTCTGTGTGTGCACTCCCTACTTTGTTCGGAAATCCAATATGCCTCTATCTTCGAATCTTAAGGAGCATTCACTAAAATTTTAACATCGCTAGTCTAGTAACTTTGCTTTCTAACTCACGGCACAACACGGTTTCACACCCTTAGAAATATTATGCCTCGAGGTGACTATCGTGTTCTCAGATGCCGGAACTGTCAGACACTTGCAAACAACATGCGCCGTTAGATACCCCTTGTTTTTAGTTTGGAGGCAGAGGGGGGAACGATTCATAGTGGGTGGTAGAAGTTGAGGATTTCAGTAAATAGCCATTCACAAAGCCGATTAAGCGTTCACATTGATGAACTGTTCAAGAACACTGTGAGGGCATCAATGTAATCCGCGGCTATCGGCGTGTACGAGATTACAAGACAAAGGTTGGAAGCAAGTGAATAGACGGATAGCAGTGAGAATATGGTTAGTACTTACGATTCATACCTAGGACATTTCGACATGTTAACATGTCGCCTAGAGGTATCTACTGATTTCTAAACTAGAATAGAAAATAAACCACGGCATCATTGGTTTTAATAGTAACTTTAATTAATTTTTTCAACAGATGCACATCAATATTATTAGCTGAAATACAAATTTCTGACGCGAGTCAGATCACATACTGCATCAAAGATCAAATCCTGCATTCGTAAAGCAAACCAGAGAGCTAGGTACCAGGCAAAGCAGAGATCATCTAGCCACGGGATACAGATCTTGCTACAGGCTAAAATTTCCATAAGCAATATACTGGATGTTGGTTTTCGCGTATTTTCCGGTGCATTATTTCCATGAAAGCGAGATTGAATCATTTTTCAACACTGATATGCTGAGGGGCTAAAAAGTGAAAAGTTCTTTTTAAAACTTCCATCCTAAGTAATTTTTCTTGTAGCATTTCCCTTGACCTATCGCCCACGCGCCCACGTTTAATTTGTCCAGTGTGGGCGGAGTGGGTAATCAGTCGTTTCTGTCTGTGAAAGTTATCTGGAACTGCCTCCCACGCAGAGTACACTTCGACGGACGTTGGAGTGTCCAAAAGCCATTCAGGGGATCACAGATGACAGGCTTACGAGGTAGGGTAAACACGGGGATAAAATCAAGACAACAGGGCATAGCTAACTGCTACGCTGATGACGGCCCGAAAGGACGGGTTTGCCTAACTACTGCCTACCCGACGATGTGAGCTGAATTGCTAAATCGAGAACCGACCCTCGATATTAGAGTCTGGAATGTGTGAACGTTCCTGGACAATAGTATCCAAAGCTTGATGGCACGCAGTCTTAATCAGTACAAAGTCGATGTTTGATGACTGGCCGATGCCCAAATTCCCGTCTCAGACGCCCCATATATAAAGACCCCGTATACCAACTCCAAATTCACCATAGCGACCCTCGCGACTCCGCATCGCTTGCGTGCTTCATGATTAGGTCGGTGGACATCTTGAGTACCAACTTTATCCACCTACTAGATTTTCTTATCATCGTTCTTATTAAGGGTTCCTGAGATACGGACTGCTAGTTAGTGAGAACAGCATTATTAACACCAACCCTTCTACCATAGCCCTCTCACAGAAAGAGATGCATGCACTAATTACGCAAAAGGCAGTCAATAACTGGCTGGAGGGTCACTTTGCGAACGTCCCTGTCATCCACGTTTACGCACCAGTATCAACTGCCGAGCAGAGGAGTAAAGAAACTTTCCACATACAGTCCCATAGGTTATTTTAAAGATCCCCTCTGCGCTATCTACTGATAATTGCTGGGTCTAAATCAGGCGATTCTTCAAGATGGTCACCTTACTGGCTTCCTTTGATTTGGTTCTCTAGGAATACTGAACTTCGCTGACCAGTGCCGACTAGTTGTCACCGACACAGGCTTTCAGCACCGACGCAAACAGCGGCTGACTGAGCATGCGAAGAGCGATTGTACGGAGATTCAGACATGTGACATTTTAGTTATTTCCGCAGCCGAGTTCATGATAGCGAATCAATAAGGGTTATCGGAACTGGCAAGGCCCACGGCCAGACTGTGTTCTTGTTCACTCAAGCCTGAGAATTCCAATCGCATCTGCGTTCAACTTGTCAGTTGCGGAATGCCATGATGCGGGTAAACTACGACAACGCAGCACAGACCAGGCCCCGGGAACGGGAAATTTGTTTCACTTTAAAACCCGAGCCGAAGGAGAGAGCGGTAACTCATGGTCACTTCTGAATTAATCAGTCTATGGGACATCTGAGGAAACATCTGATTCACTCACCAGTGCCACAGTGACTGGATCAGCGGAAGTTTTACAGTTTTTTGAAAGGACTGATCAAGTCGGGCCTCTAAAGGATGGTTCTTTCAGCCGACCCTCGAAGATGACAGTAAGGTCAGTCAGAAATGACTACCAGAAGTCTCTGAAATGAAACAGTAATTAGCATAAAACAGGTCCCAACTGTCCCTGATACATGAAAACCCCATCAGCTTATTGGTCAGCATTGTGGTTGGTGTTCTGCACTGAGTAATTCTGTTCGTGATATGAAAGGCGACTTTATCGCTGACAACTCATCCAAAGTAGAATGCTGACTGGACACCTCGAGAACCTTCTCAACTACAAGACTAACCCATCGCGCCCTCCCCCTCCTCCGTATCCCTCTCCGACCTCTGCAGTGCAATGTGACTCAACCTCAGAAAGGAAAGCGTGGACACAATATGGAGGCCGCACGGCAACAAACCGCCGCAGAGGATCTTACTCCCAATGAAATCAACAACACCTGTGTCGACACTGGCGCCCTGGCCCCATGTACCGGTCGACCAAGCGTCGGGTTAGGATGCCGGTTCTGATGACTGAGGCTCGATCACCCTTGCGCCTGACTTCGTCACGGGTGTTGGATGTTAGTGTGATGATTGCTCAACCATCTGACCCACCGACTCTGGCGTTGGGAACAGTGTTCGCCTGGGCGCTTCCCGCGTGGCTTATTACTCCGCATAGGCGAAGTCTCAGCACCGAGTATGAAGGGGAAGTTCAGTGCACTTGTCAATGGACTGGAGGCCACTAAACCGTGATTCAAGTAACTCTCGGCTCACGCGGTTGTCACCTCTTGCGAGGATTTCGGCCTCGTAGAATTTAAATGTGTGGCCGGATCTCGTCGTATGAGCCACAACTTGAGAGCTGGCGTCATTTCTTCACACCGCTTCAGCGTGTTCGACCATTCTCGTTCGGAGCTGTCTTCCAGTTTCTCCGACGTAGGTGCTTTGTCCGCAACTGCATCAGATCCGATAAACGACTGCAGACGTTTCTAGCCGTGGCAGTGAGTCTTTCGGTTTCATTACTTGACGCCTGATGGTTACCTCCGGTCTGTGTGCAACTCCAATCCCAAGTGGTGCGAGAAGGTGGCCGACAGCTTCCGAAACGTTCTTCACATACGTAGCGCTCGCCAAAATTTGGTGTCCGTGCGGTTTGGCATTTCGGCCCTTTTGCGCATGCACCGGTTGACGAAGCTGCGCGGGTGGCCATTGGAATTGAAGACCCGTCGGAGATATGGTGGTTCAACAATCTTGTCTTCCGGCTTACTGCCTTGCGTTTCGACACGCTGATAGAGCGTCCTTACACAACTGCGTTTGTGACTGATTGGATGGTTGCTGTTGAAGTTCAGTATTTGCACCGTATTTGTCGCTTTCTTAAACACTTTGATCTTTAGGCCACCACAATCTTTGCGGCATACGCGCACATCCAGGAAGGCCAGCTGGTTGTCCTCTTCCCCTCAATCGTAAATTGTATGTCCGGAAAGACTACATTGACAGGTTCTTTGAATGTCAGCAGTTGATCCCGGTCGATAACGACGACGGTATTATCCACATACCGAGCCCAGAACTTCCGTCTGTGGTGTTGGAAGATCAGCGACTCTAACCGTTGCAGGACCGCCTTAACGATGAATCCCGAAATCGGCGAACCCATTGGTGCGCCCTTCCCCTGTTTGTAGATTGTCCCGTCGAACGCGAAGCACGTCCTGAGACAGAACTTCAGGAGCTGAAGGACTTGGGCGTGTCCAAGACGTTTCTCCGTTTCATCGTATTTGCTTTGTAGAAGCAGCTCCATTGTCTCGATCGCCATGTCCTGAGGAATAGAAGTAAAAAGGGATGTAACATCAAAGGATACCATGACCTCATTTGGATGGAGATTGACGCCTTTGAGTTTCTCCAGGAATTGTGCTGACGAAGAGACTGTGGCGTCTGAGTCAGCGGTCAGGAACTTGAGACGCCGGAACAGCCCCTTTGCCAGTCCGTACGTTGAAGTACCTTTGAGCGACACGATGAGTAGGAGGGGTGCGCCCTCTTTGTGCACTTTAGGGAGGCCATAGAATTTGGCAAAAGCCGTATCTTGGGGTCTCGCCATGCGTCTGTCGGTCGGTGTTATTGCACCTGAGTTCTCCAAGGCCAACAACGTAGCATTAATTTCGCGTGTCAGCGCTTTTACAGGGTTCGTTGCACATGGGGCATGGAACTGTCGGTCCTCCAGTAAACCTTTGGCTTTTTGAAGATAGTCTGTCCTGCGCAATACAACAGTGGAAGGCCCTCTGTCCGCTGGCACGATAACCAAGTCTTCGTCGGCCTCGAGTTCTCTGAGCGCATCACGTCCGACCTTGGAAAGCACTCCCCGCGGGCTGTGGGCCATTAGGAGGGGTGACACGGTGTCGGATGAGGCTCTTAGTCTCCTCTGTTGCTTTTGTCTAAGGATTGATTCCACTGCTGTAATCATGTTAACAGGTTCAACGTTAGCCATGTTGACTGAAACTACGTGCCGTAACACCCGCATCTAGTACTTCGTCAGCTCCTTTGACGACAGGTTGTGCACCAATTTGTCGTTTCTGGGCGACGTTGGATTGGGCAGCTGTCGGAATTCGTTCTTCAGTACTGCGTCGTGTATAAGTCGCTGTTCGCGGTCCCGTTCAGCCACCCTCTGCAGGAGCAGATTTGTACTGATCTCGCCCATGGGCTCACGGCATCTGGTCTTCTCTTGGTCAATCCTCCGGCGGTACTTGCGGGGTCTCGCTCGGCAATCTTGGAGGAGCACTCGGACCATCCTTCTGCTATGCTGAAATACTACTCGTCTCACAAAATCTGTGTTCGCCGGGGGCTTGTATGAAAAGCATTCCGGCAACACATTATTGTCGAGACACCTGTGCAGAAACCAGCTCTGCGCAGACGTGGAGGCCTCTCGAAGGGCGAAGGTTTCCCATGGTCGGGCCGATCGGAGCGAATCGCGCCCAAGTACGCTGCCGATGGAAGCGAAGAGTCCCAGGAAGCAGTCGTGAATAAGACACTTGTCCCAGCGATCTCGCCTCAGATCGTTCATCCTACCCCGGCCCCAAGTACTCGTAGCAGAACGCCCGATGGCCCTTTTATCTGTATACTGGGCCAAATTAACGAAGCGAGTTAAAATTTTGTGGTCGCGGCATCCGACTTATGCGCGGGGATGCTCTTCGAATTTTACCAACAGCAGAAGTTTCGCACCCTGTCGAGCTCTTTCGAATGGGATTTTAGCGAATACAACGTACGTGTCAAACAGGCCGTATAACCACTATCATCTGCGAATAAAGACGTAATGGAAAGTTCTCCACGGACGATTCTTTATGGGCAAAAAACTTCCTCAAACGCAAGTGAGGTTCGACCTCAAGTCCAGCACAATTCCAGGGTCTCATGTCTATCGTGTTTACGGATTATTGAATGCTACCCGCCGTGTTACCGCCGGCGTGGGCTGTAAATCGCCAGCTGAAAACACACGCAGAAATGCTCATCTTCGGCCCGCAATCAAGGTAGACTGTTAAACCCTCTTCTCGGGCCACAGTGAAAGACAGTTTAAGGCTAATTTATTGAGGTGCTGGGATCTTAACAGAGAAATAGGGCCACACTCGAAAGGATTTAATTGTGTTTAGCGGCATAACCGTCATCATCCAATGAACGCGTTTGTCCACGGTACAGTTTGTCGATTGAGAGTGTAGTTTCCTAGGGTTTTAAAGAGCTCATCCTGCTCGATATAGTGACAAGTCGGAGCCATGGCAGTTGCGTCGCGCCAGAGCAGAAAACCTGAGAGACCTGTCCGTGCTTTTAACTGGTCTGTGGTGTAAGTATGACGAGACGCGATAAACTAGGCTCGCAAAGGAAGACAACTAATACTTAGATGATGATGGCTGAAATCTCCGTCGTCTATATTGTTCTCATGGTTAAAGTAGAATTTCGGAAGGGAGAAACGTGAAATGGGTCTTAAAACATAGTAAAGCAGAGGGGAGTCGAACACGACAAAGGATATGAGCCAGCTTGGAGACAAAACAGACGAACTTCGTCTAGTCTTCAGTATGAAAACGATATCGAGGACGGGGTATTAGAAAGACAGGTCACTCAAGGCAGGGCAGGAGTAGGTCACAAGGATGAGCATGTCGGTGACAAAACATTCGATCCCACGTATCTGAAGTGGTGGGTAAGGGGCACAGAGGGAAAAACGGAAACAAGTGGACTATACAAATGCGTGTGCGGAAGACCGGGGGGTTGGCGTGAGGGAAGAAGTCGCCGATAGTAAGCCCCGAAAGCAGTCGTGCCGGGTATACCCAGAATTACCACATGGAATGTTTGGCGGAACGAGGAGGCGCGGCGGGAGACGCCTTCGATAAGGGCGCCATGAGGTAAACCGCAACATTAGCACATACACACACATGTAGGGGACACGCGCTGAGAATTAAATCAGAGGGGGGCAAGTGCATACAGAGGGGATAGCTGGCTGCTAGAGAGGGGAGAATGAGCAGCGGCTAGCACAACCGGAGTCAAGAATTGTTGCAGCTATTCGTTCATCAGAAGGCGAAAAAGCTGCGCGAGGGGAAATCATCAGTGTGAGGAGATGGGCAGCCGAAAAAAGGCAATCCAGCAGCTGGGAGACAGTCGCAGTCCGATAATTGGAGCTCACAGAAGGGTACAGCAACGGTTCGTCTTCTTTGCCTTGAAACATTAAAAAACCGTCGACTTGTAACAGCACTGTAAATGAGAGGGACGATATGCGCAAGGACTTGCGCGAAAATAATGCAAGACGAAGGAGGAGGATTGGACAGGAAGGGAGGGAGAAGGAGGAGACGAGAAAACGCTACTTAATATCTACGTCTAGGGGAGCTTTAGATGTCAATTAAGCTCTACAGTCGTGAAATGGGACAATGATCAAAATGGAGTCTGAAGGCGAAACGAGGGCATATATATGCTGCAAGCTTGGAATGTAATTTCGCCATCGTGGGTTGTAGTTAAGTACTTAAAGGCGGCTTTCACCATACTTTTTCGTTTCCAAGACAATATAACCAAGTACGCTACAGTTTCTCCTGAAAGCAATCAACACCATCAATACACGGGCAGTAACAGTAAAATTTGGCTGATAAGAAGTACTAGTCGAGTGGTCGATAAGCATAAGCAGAGGGGTTGCCAACTAAAGTTTAATGAGAGCTAAAAATCCCGATAAAGCAATAAGCTGAAGTTCATATACCGGAAACCGCTAGAGAACGCTGGGGGTCCCACTGAAGAGCCGAACCCCTCGCAGCTGTGTCACGCAGCGGCAGAATATCGGCGAAACACGTGTCTGGGCTTTTAGCAAGTATCTAGGTCGGGAGTACGGTATACTACTATTACCATATATATATATATATATATATATATATATATATATATATATATATATGTAGCTCAGAGGGGGTATGCATATATATATATATCAGAGCGGATACGACAGAGTCTGGGGGGTAGATTGATACAGCACTGTTTCGGGCTTGTTTGCCTTCATTCAGCCAACCATAACCCTGACCACCAGCTGGGACCGGAAACACAAACATGGGAACAGACGCACCTGGCGCAGCTGGTCCACCACTGGGGTCTACCAGATGGGTCATAAGCACTTCATCGAACCGAAGTTCATTAGCGCCTCGCCACCTGCCATTCTCAGTCGCTGCAGATCGGGTATTTATTCACTCAGGAATGGGCGCACACCGATCCATTGGCTTCCCGAAGCAAACAAGCTTCGTATGAGCGACAGGGGTCACGAACAGGCAACCACCTACCAGGCCGAAGTCGGCCAAGCTATGATATATATATCTGAGGTGTTCTTCGGTGGTTTAGTGTCTTGTTATCATTCTCAGACTACGTGACAAAGTTAGCGCAGGCAAGGAAATATACCCATAGGCAGAGACATGAATGCTAGTAATTTGACGTCAGATAAGCATATTTGCTATTCCGCGTGCTTCAATGCAAGCTTCGACTCCATCAAGCAAGCAAGGGTTTCATTATTTATTTCGTTGAACAGATGTTCCCAGCTCGTCTCAAGGACAAAGCATACCACATCCAACCTCTACACGTCAGAAAAGTCCACCCACAGAAAACTGGAAATACTACGCTATTTAATTTGCTGCTTTCATACAAAACCTAGCAAAACGTTAAGCGCTGTCTAAATCGCAAGACGCAAAAAGTAAAAAGAACTAAGTTTCTACGGCGGTCCGGCCAAAAGCATTCATTTGCGCTTACGCCTATGTATGAAAAAATACTTTATTTACCCAGATACCGTAAGGTGGCTATGCACCGATGAAAAATCGGTTCGAAGATGCTGCTGAGTAATCGGCTAAATCTTGACTGTGGGTCAACTGCGCAGGTGAGTGAACATACAGGTGTTGGCCGGGGAATGGTTAGATGAATGCAGCTGCCTTAGTCTGGCTTTGCTTCAAGGTTCTACCTCGGTCCTGTATATACGGTACGCGCTTACACTGGTGAAACAACCACCAGAAGTGGGTACGAGCACATGAGAACCTATGGGGCAACATAATCGTAGGTCAAACCATACACTTTATCATACTGGCTACTGAGTACGCATAGTTGCAGCACCTGTGAATTATAACCTGAGGAGAGGCTGTTTACGTAACGCATGTTTTTCGATTCGTTTTGGATATGTCCATAAGTTATTTCACATTTTATAAAAATGATGGACGAGGAACGAACTTCGCACCTCCATTTCCATGTAAATTAAACACGATATGTTTGAAGAAATGGTTTCTGACTTTCGAATGGTCTACTAATACCTGCATATTTCGAAAACCCGCATTCTCAGATGTTCAGATGGGTTCAAACCAAAGGTTATACCTGTTCTATTAAGCATATCAATAAAACGAGGCCTTTTCGCCCTTAAATGATATCACATTTGGCACGGATCACGCTGCGTTGGCACTGCTCTCCTACTAATCTTCCGTTGACTCGACTGGCACAGGCCACGGCAGAGGAAGGGGAGGCGAATTCGACCCCGTTGCGATCCACCGAATTGTTTCCTCGATATCGGTATAGGTGATAGCGACTCTAAACCGTTGGTTATTGTTGGTGTACGTGTGTTACGGCTGTTTTTCATTTTTTGCAAAATTTGAAAAAGAATGGTTAGGTATGCGCGAATTCCCAGAGACTGGAGTGTTTTCTTCCTTCTGAATCAGTGGGTGTGAGACGGAATTTCTCCTCCATATTACTACCTCCAACCTAAGCCTTTTTCCCGTTACTCAGAGGCAGCTATTAGTGTACCTGTCGGCCACTCGTTCGACGAGCGTCCCTAAGTGAAGCTAACCACCAAACAATACGATTAAAACTGCAGAAGTCGAAAAATACACCTTCGAACGTTATAAGATTAAGGGCATTGTATGAGGAAAAACTTACGGTTTGATAGAACAGTTTGGACTGCTCACTAAGATCATTTGAGCGGCTGACCAAATCGTCCAGTTTCTCCCC